CGATGTTCGAGATACAGATATCGAAATTTATGTTATTCGTGGTAAGCGGCCTAAAATGTACGCTCTAAACGATTTAATGCATAATTTAATGCACAATTAATGCAGAGCTAATATTGCAATTCCAAACATGGAAAATGGGAGATGATGCCAAAACAACCTTTTCTCAAAATAGAATTACCAGGTGAACATTTCAGATGTTTATGATTATTAATTTTTCAGATTAAATCTCAAGAATATTCTGAACTTTTTAAGATTCTGTCTTAAAATACCTTATTTTGTGTCCAGGGATTTGAACGATACTTTTGCATATGTACAATATTCCATATTTAGAAATGTGTCAATGGAGTATATATAGGTGACAGTTTTCACTCTGATACCGAGAGTTATGATAAAAACGGAAGAGTAAATAGTAACAGCTACTCAACACGCATGCCCACTAATCTTATTGATTCCATTCTGATAAAGCATACAGACATGATGATGCGTGCATTTCCCCAAATGGTTCCAATCAGCTCATACATTGATCTATCTTATCTTTTATGCCACGCTTATCTTCACATGTTGTGGCATATTACTGAAATGTATCAAGAAATCCCTATAAAAGTGCATCTATCGTATTAAAGTTCAGATGTCTATCTTGTTCGATAACAGTTGATTTACATTCTTTGAACGCAGGGCGCCATCAGAATCGTATATGGTACAGGAATAGAAGCAGCATAACTGATTAGTTTGACCAATTATCACATGTTGTGATAGAACATGTTAAAATTATACTATGGTTTTCATGGTTATTTGATCGATCGTAAAGTAGTTGCCTCATTTTTTGTTGAAAAAACGGATGCAGTTCACTACAAGTGTGAAAAAAGTACTATGGTCTTGTGTTTTTGGATTGTGATAATGGTGCCCGAATGGCGGGTAATAAGGGCATTGAACTCTGTTTCTTGAACATTAGATCATTGTTTTGAATACTCGGGATTGGCTGCATTCTTGGAATTTTCCTGTTTTGTGTTTCAGTCACCGTCATCATTTTTCGAACGAGTTACCTTGAACTATCAAGATGGCATTCTATTCTCATACTTATAGAACTTAATATGACTGCCATTCACCATTTTAAGCAATAAAAAGTTAATTTGCATCATGGGTAACAATTTATTTCTACTTTTTGCACTTTTTGGCTCAGGTTTAGCCTTCTGAGCATCAGCATTAAACATGTGATGTAGAGGGAATTTGACTGGTAAGAGTCATAATGGTGATACTGGACCATACTGGTTTGAGTATGCTAAAGGACGTTAATGGATGTCCATGCACTGTGAACATGGACTGATACATTGAAAAGAAGAAAATCCATCCTGACACGAGAGCGGAAGCAAGTTGACATGGATGCTGATACTCACCGGCAAGATGAAGCATCATTGCACTGCTCCAATACTTGACTTGAATATCTCCATCATTACTTCCCTGAAAAAAGACTCATCTCTCATTGTATAGATCACACTTGACCTACACATTCTCAAGACATATCCCCTGTATTTTTTGTGTTGATACTTAAAAGGCAGGATCTATGCAAACAATCCCCAAACTATTGATGAGCTTTATGAGTTCAGGGGAATTTCTTATGACAACATGAACAGGGAGTTACAATGTATGCAAGAAGCTTTGATTGAGCACACTACAAACTATTGATATTTGCTCACATAATGGTGGTATAGATTATAAAACTTACACAACACAAAACGTGCATGTCTGTCAGACAGGTCTATGAAAAAGATTAGGAAAATTCCTATCGTTAGAAGATGCATCGCAATCAAAAGTGTAAATGATTTTTTGGACCACCCTGTATAAGAAAAGTGTTTTTGTAACGTTTTTGGAAACTGAAAATTTTAGAAGCGTGCCTTTTAAGTTAAGGAAAGTTAGTGATTTTTGGGAAGTGCCCAATAATTCAGATATATGATGAGCAACTGTGTATTGTTATCAATCTAAACTAGAACCAGGGATGTAATTGTATGATCTGACAAGAATACAATATGAATATAACATAATGCTGACATAAGCTGTTCATTGGTTGAAACACTAATGATAAAAAAAACATAAAATAAAGAAATGTATAATATTATGTTAAAGGCTTGTACCAACACTGTCTTAGACCCTGGTCGTGGCATAGCAAACGTCAATATGTCAGACTGATATGGCATCATTCTATGTTTTACAAAATGGCCTTCGAAAATAATGAAGGGAAATTGACGATGTCTGGAAGCGAACTGTGTCAAAGTCTTGATAAACAATATTAATAGCATAGATGACGCTGTGGTATGTGGGTTGGATTATGTTCGGCAATACATTTGAACAGATACTTTCTGTGTCCCTGATTACAAATCCAAGTCAGAGAGACTTAAATAAACAAAGACGATCAATTTACTTGACGAACTTCTTGAAAGTTCATAAATATTTCTATATTTTATATTTCCCACGTGATTTTCAAAATAATAGAGAAAATATAGATTGATATAGGTTATTATATAGAAACATATGGTGTGAACATGAAGTAATCTGAAGCACTGGATATAGCAAAATCAAAAAGCAATGCTTCAAATTGTTGGTTGGAAGGCTTCTTTCATAAGAATTCAGAAGAATACCAAAACGGCTTTGAATAATGATTTACCCCAAAAACACAGTATTACCTCTGGTGTATACCAGAGGTCAATGTTATGCCCCATCCTGTTCATCCCTTGTTTCAATAATTTGCACATCAAATATTCACTCATTCACAGTTTCTCCTGGATTAACCAAAGTGGGACGGTCTGTAATAATTTTTGTTTTGATAGTGTCTTCATTTTGAAACTATTAAGCCATTTTCTTTCTGGGGCATGATAACATTGGAAATGTCATTCAAAGTCACATTAGCTGATCCAAAATTCATGTTTTAACGTAAAAAAAGTTATGATATTTCTGTGTGTCTTTTATGTCTTTATTCGCCACACCTAAAAAATATCCCCTCTGATTTTAATATGAAATGAGACTTTTATTGCGGGTATGATCAAAACTGCTATTAGAAATACTTCCATACAAGAACACAAGCACAAGTGTAAAAAGTGAAAGTGAAAGACCAAAAAGCATACAAGATGACAATAACAAAAATTATAATTTCATAAAAACTAGGAATACAAACCCTAAATATTTGAATCTTTGATATTGCTATTATGCACAAAGAATCATCCAATCAATACACTATATATAGACTAAACGTCTGCCTATTTGTTGAAGCACCATGATCAAATTTGAATCCAACACAATTGTCAATAAAATGAATCTTATTCACAGTTCAATGAAGACTGCTTGATCAGTCAAATGTCTATATCTGATGACCCCGTATTGCTCATGTGCCCCGGTGTCTATGAACCTGTTTGATTGGTGGCATTGTTTGCGAGGACACTATGATCCATTAATGTCACAGTGATGTAATAATATAACCATATGGTTGATTTTCCAATCGAATGCTACAAAAAATATAAGTTTCATGAAATGTGCAAAAATTAAAATTGAAGCATGATCATAATTATGTGGCTTATAAACATACCTTGAAAGTTAAGATGGAGCTACTGATATGTATTGTTTTTGACCAGAGAAAATATGGTGTTTATTCAGAGGAGGAGATTTCCCAAGGATGCCATATAGTGCATGGTAGACAAAGTAGGTCGCTCGATCGAGCAACGTGTCAGTTCTTTCATATCTCCGATATAACATTATTCGATTGTATATTTACCATTTGGGTTAATTTCATTTTGCTATTACGTAAAGCATAGCACGCATCTGTTCATAAAAGAGATGAATTTTTAATGAGAAAAGCAAAAACTGTCCATGTCGAACTTACTGTCTGCCATTTTGAATGTCATGTGATACCTCCATAAAAGGCATGTAAGACCATGTAGGGAGTGTTCATTACGATTAACCAGTGAGTGAAAGTGGCAAAACTGGCAAGTAATTATGGCACCTACTCACTTCTTAAATCACATGATTATATTTCGTCAAAATATTAGAAAACACATCAAATATTTAAGTTTTCTCGAATGCAAGTGTTAAAAAGGTATAACACTACTGGCTTTTCAATGCAATTAAAGGCATCCATTTATTTATCGAAGACCCAGAGGGGAAATTAAAAATCAAAAACAGCTAGCGCACTTCAAACCTTACTTTGTCTGAAATTGCTGAAATTCTATTTGGCCAGAGTAAATATTTTGAGCAATAAATCCAAGTGAATTAAACGTGGGCTATCTAAAAATCATTATTTTTGGATATACCTTACATCTGAAGATATTGGATCTCACCAGCGACTGTGATATCAATTTGTTTGGATTATGTATGTTTTCAACTGTATCCAAAGATTACACGTTTCAACCCTTGATCATCAACGATGCTTTGAAAAAACGTTAAGCACATATTCTACATTTTTGAATTCATACTTTTGTTATGCAATACAGTATACTGCACTGCATTTTTATCGTAAGTTGTACTTTAACTTGGTCAATCTTGTGAAAATACTTTTCAGAAATCAAGGTCATTGCCCAGGGTTGAGTGTTGCCAGAAAAGTATATAGCCTGGAATGTTAAAGTTAGAAATTGTTGTTTTGGACATGGGCCTATGTCTACAGTTTTGTAGGTATATCTGGTGTTATGTTTTACCTACGTTTTGATACATTGATGGTTTTGCTTCCCTGTTGTGGCCAGCTGTGTCTTTAGAGAAATAAAAACAATTATTGGTAATGGGTTTTCGGTTCAAACTACCAGAACCTGTCTTCCCTTCTGCTTAAATTGAGAGCGTTCTGGAATGTACCAAAATGATTGATTTTCGACTGGCGGATTACCTTTGATCTTCTCGGCACGATTACGTCACTCGGTTAAGCGTGCAAAAAATATCAAGAACTTTATTTGAATTTATTGCAAAGTTTATTGTAATATAGCATCAATAATGGCTTTCTGGAAGTGGCACTACTAAGAAACGACGAGAGGGTATCTTTATCGGAAGCAGTGGCTAAAACAAGCATGACGTTCTATTATCACGGCGATCGGATCAACTAGCTCTAATGGAGTTTACCGCGCAGATTGAAACAAAAACCAAAAAGGAAATAAACCGGATATGAGCATTTGATTGAGACGTGTGATTTATTTACCTCTTTGATTGAAGATCACCCGTCGATGTGAGATTAGTGCGCGTTAATTTATAGGGAAACATGGAGTCTCTAATCATCATTGGAAAACTTGTTGGATTACTATGTACCGTGTTTCTATGTGGTAAGTACATGTAAATAGTATAGGCTCTAAATACATAGTTTGGTATTCTAAAGATAATTCATTATTACAGCACATGCGCCTGTTTATCTTATGCTTGTACAACTAAAGATTTTTTCGAAGATAATAACCCTACAGATATGAAAGATATCAAGCATGTTGATCAAAATGGGCGCCTGGCTCAGGAAAGATTGTAATTGTATACATGCATCCATATTCAAATGCTACATGTATATAAGAAAGCAAACACTACTTTTAAATTTGTTGGACAGTAATGATGAGTACATTATTTCTAAATCTCATTTATGTATTATTAAATGCACGTTTAGTCGTTTACACCCCCACCCTATGCACCTCGTATTCATTTTCGGGAAAACCACCGATTGGGTTTATTGAAACGAAAGCCAAGTGGAATGATACGCGTTGATTGATTTACGAGAACCATCTAAATGGTAAGCGTGTACTGGATGGCATTAATTACCACATATTAGCTTAAAACATGACTTTGTAGAAGCATTTCATTGCCTTCTTGACTGGTCTATTTACAATAGCTAAAATAAACTAGACACAATTTAGAACAAACTCCGATTAGATCGCTCATTTATTCTTAGGGCTACTAAAGATAAGACAATTATTACGATTTAACAGTTTTTCCAATGGTCAGTCGGTTGATGCCCTTATTTTTATGTTACTATATGTGCAATAACTCTCACTACATACGATTGCACTGTGGATTGTAAGTAAAGGACGCCTAAAAAGTTCCCATGCATTATGTTGCGGATTACAACTCACAAGAGAAAAAATAATATGAAAATTGAATTGAGGGTGGCTACTTTTTCAAACCTCCTTGGACATTCAAAAATAAGAAACTATTTCTATTATATACGTATACACATTACTTGCTGATGTTTGAATCCATTCTAATTTGCAATATTTTGGTTTATAATAGTTCAAATAATTAAACAAAAAGTTACATGTCACATTGACCTACTTTGATTCAAAATGGCTGTTCCAACTGCTTAATCTATTTCAAAACACATAGGTATGACATACTACCAGACACCACAAGTGCTTTTGAATGACCAACCTCAAAGTCATCACACAAAATGATTTGTCAGCGTCCATATAATTATATTTATAATACAATGACTGCTTACAATCTCTTACCTGTCATTTATAAAGCTACCAGAGTAACATCCACATCTGCTACCTCAATAGATAATATTTTCACTAATGACCCTAAAATTGACTTGTGTGGAATAATTTATAATGATATTTCAGATCATTTCCCAATTTTTGCTACTTCTAATAAGCCTATCAACAAAACTAAATTTATAAAAAGATCAATAAGAAAATATACAGTAGAAAATATATCAAAGTTCAAAGAACTCCTCTCACATGACACCTGGGATGATATTACTAATGTCAATAATGCAAATGATTCTTATAATAAGTTTGAAGATAAGGTGTCAAATTTCTACAATGAATGTTTCCCTTTAAAACAAGTCACGATCAAATTATATAATAATAATACGAAGCCATGGTTAACATCAGCGATACTTAAATCAATTAGAAATAAAAGCAAACTTTACAAAAAATACCTTCGAAATCCCAACGATCAAAATAAAAAGCAATATAAATCTTTTGCAAATCAGCTAAAAACCACAATAAAATTTTCACAAAAGCAGTATTACAATAACAAATTTGAACATAATCAGGGAAATATAAAAGCAAATTGGCAAATAATTAATCAGATACTCCAGAGGAAAAATAAAAATAATAATATTTCAGATTCTTTTATTCATAATAATGTTGAATTAACTGATAAACAAGAAATAGCTAATCAATTTAATAATTTTTTCGTAAAGGTTGGTGAAAAATTAGCAAGTAAAATACCAAAATCAAACAGAAATTCTTTGGACTTTATGCAATCAATAGGAAGACAAGCTCAAACTCTTTTGTTAGATACCGTTGAAGCAAATGAATTGAATAAAATAATTACCAACTTAAAACCCTCTGCAGCAGGACATGATGATTTTAAACCTTTTATCATTAAAGATTGTGGATTGTTATTTCACCATCCTCTTTTACATATCTTTAATCTCTCTCTTAAAAACGGAATTTTCCCGGATCGGCTTAAAATAGCAAAAGTTATTCCTATATACAAAAAAGATGATGCACATTTTTTCACTAATTATCGCCCAATCTCAGTTTTACCCGTGTTCTCCAAGATCCTGGAAAAAATAATGCATCATAGAATTTCTACATTCATAGACTCTATCGATATTTTGTACATTAACCAATTTGGATTTAGGGAAAAAAGATCGACTTCAATGGCTGTTCTAACTTTTATTGAAAAGATTAGAAAAGCGATTGATGATGGCGAATTTACCATTGGATTGTTTCTTGATTTTTCCAAGGCCTTCGATACAATTGATCACAACATCCTACTTAGTAAACTTGAATTTTATGGCATTCGTGGTGTTGCGCTCAATTGGATCAAAAGCTATTTTACACACAGAATTCAAAAAACATTTTACAGCAATACCTTATCTGAGCCTGAATTTATCACGTGCGGAATCCCTCAAGGCTCAATTCTTGGACCACTTTTCTTTATTCTGTACATAAATGACATTTACCTTTCTTCTCCACGATTGTTTTTTATTTTATTCGCGGATGATACCAATTTATTGATAAAAGGTAAAAATCTAACTGAACTTGCTGATATTCTTAATACTGAACTAAAACTAATAGAGGAGTGGCTTATCACTAATAAATTATCCCTTAATGCGGATAAAACAAAATATATTATTTTCACCTCGAGTCAAAAAAGATATAATGCAAATAACATAAACATCTTTCTTAATAAAAAGAAGCTTCGGCAGGTTGATAACATTAATTTTCTTGGTATTACAATTGATCAAAACTTAAACTGGAAACGTCATATTATGTCCGTAAGTGCTAAAATCTCCAGAACCATTGGTATCCTATATAGGGTCAAACAACTGTTAAATGATAAAGCATTCTTGAGCATCTATTATTCCCTTATTTACTCTTATTTGATATATGGCAATCTTATCTGGGGTGAAGCAGGTAGTGGTTTGTTAAACTCCCTTCATATTTTGCAGAAAAAATTTACACGTATTGCAACAAACAGTAACTACAGAGCACATTCCCTTCCTCTATTCAAACAACTGAACATTTTGAATATATTTGATATTAATAAGCAGTTGAAATGCCTTTTCATGTACAAATGGATTAATAAACTCCATAATTATCATAAAATTTTTCCAAACCTCTTCAGTACCATCCAAGAGAGACATGTTTACAACACCCGAAATAGGATAAACTATGACAAACCCAAAATTCGAACAAATTATGGAAAAGCTTTGATATCTTTTACTGCACCATCAATTTGGAATTCATTACCTATTGAAATAACATCATCTGGAAGTATTTTTATTATGAAAAAAGAATTGAAAAAATATTTTATCAATCAATAATATCAATTTCAGTTAACCATTGTGGGCATTATATGACACATTCTTAGTTAGACATAGATAGTAGCATTCATCACACAAGCAGATCCCCAATCTGTACATTTCATGTTTGTTTATAAACACGGGAATATACACGAGAAGTGTCACCCGTTTACTGTATATTTGTTGTTGAAATATGTATGAATAAATAAATAAATAAATAAAAAAAATATATATATATTATAACAGGCATTGGCCCCTTAAATGAGGTTGTGATAGTCATTTCGTTCGGTGCTTAGACTCAACATGTCAGCCACAATAGGTTTCAGCAATACCAACAGAGAAAATATACGACTCATTTAGAAGCTTATTTATTAAATAGCATCGGCTTAAAGTTTTCTTTTTTTCAATAACCATAAGCAAAAAATTGTCCCCCTTTCTAGAGTTAGACCAAGTGGGCTAACTAATTGATTCTCAGACAATCTCTTAAAGTGATACTGATGATGTTCAACACTATCATCGGGTTTCTAACGAACGCAGGTAGAAATATCAGAGATCGCGCTTCATTAGCATCATTAACAGACATCGTAGGAACATGTCTCGAAACATAACCTTCCCGTTGGCACATTAGCGGCAAAGATGTTTAAAGCATATGGGGCAAAAATATGTTACCTCTTGGATCGTATATCCATACGCGCTTGTTAATGTCTTAGTTTACAAAAACATCTATGAGCTAGGGGTGGTACATATTGCTTTAATTCGCACATTTGTGAGTTTGGTTTTCTTTATTGGAAGCTTACGAAAGAAAGATAATATTAAGCTATGTTATCATAGTTTTGATACTCTGACTATCTTTGAGAAACAGATGCTTAAAACTGAGAGCATGAATTTCCGTGAGGTCTGGAGGCTTAGTCAAATCAACATATCCTGTTATATCTATTTTAAACATACCCCCCCCTCCCTTCCATGAATTATTTAAAGTATGTTTGCAAGGAATTGGCATCCTTCAAAATAAATGCATAATCATGATTCGTTTGCTCAGTCTCAGCTAGAGGACTGGACTAGGGCTAGTAGTTGAGGGTATAAGTTTCCTCTGTAAACTGACCTTAACGGCCCCATTTAAGCCATCTTCATTTTGTCGTCCTATGTACATACATTTCTGAGGTTTGGACAACAAAAACCTTTTAGATCAAGATGCTGTGTGTTTGCATTCTAATAACTTTTTATTAATAATTTAAAGGCTTTCATTGTATATTGTGTCAGTTGTGCTAATTATTTATTTGTTCTATTGTACACTTTCCACTATACTATTGATAGCTATAAATCATTCACGTAAGTAGTTCGATTGGTGGTGATTTTCGCACTAATGCCACAGTCACTTTTGATTTACGGCTATAGTACGGCGGTCGTAGCTTCCCAAAATCGACAAAAATATGCAGCATAAAATATAGCCCTGGATAAACAGTACGATGTCGAATTTCTATATTAATTTTGTGAAGCCACGGTCGTCGTTCGATTGTCGTA